GTATAGTATTTGCGAGATGTAGAAGATTGAAGCCTAGACGCAGGGAGAGTTAGCAAAGGTGGTTTTATTGAAGAGGCCTGTGAAGATTGCATCTATAGAAGATAGTGTCCTCTGATGCGTCGGATGGTGATATATGCATGCATGCTTGATTCCTAATGTTTGTAGATTGCTTCTTAGAAAAGAGTGGTAGACACTAGTGTGTGTGTTGTACCATATAGCAGTTGTAGGGTTGCTCCTTATTCTAAGTCAATGAAATCTGGATTAGGTCCCGAAGATGTAGGAAATGAACCTATTTAACAAATTTGATATGTTTTTACTTTCTGCACTATGTTATTCATCACCTCATCTGCACTTGATTCAGTGATTTATTATGTTTTTATTAACTATCAACATCACAAGCCTCCAGAGTTCATCACCTTTCTCTTTATCATTTGCAAGAAAGTCTTACTCTTACTCATTTGCTAAAAATGGCAGAGGAATCGGGTGCCACTAACGGTGTGAGGCTCTTTGATTCTGGTCCCTCGACCCATCACTTGTTTTTGCTGACAACATCTTGTTTCCGTTAGCAAAAAATTAAAAATCTTGTTTCCATGTAAAGCTAATGAAGTCAAATGTAAAGCTCTGCAGTATATTATGAACATTTACGATGAAGCAATAAGGCAGGTTATCAGTCTCTAACATTTATCAATCATTTTTAGGGGCAATGCGGAGGAGCATAAAAATAAATCTAAGGAATACAATAAAGGGAGTGGAGCAGATACCATTTTAATATTGTTGAAATGTTTCAACTTTCAACTTCTCAAAGATCGAAATGTTAAGTTTCATCCAAAGAGAGAATGAAACACATAATGTCTGGCTGATTTTCTCTTACCTTCTCACATGAAAGTAATGAAGTCTTTCTAAAGGCAGTGGCAATGGAAATGCCAAACGCCAATATTCGTCATGTTTTGCTTTAAGCTCTCTAAATTCATGATCGTCAATCTATCAAGTGCTATGACTGATTTTGATGAAATTTTGTAAACAATGAAGTTAAAATCCACGAAACAATGTTGCTTTCTGAAAATTATAAGAGGCTTAGGGTTTAAAGATACTTAAAGTGTTAACTATGCTTGGAGGTTGCTGCAAGTGCCTAACAGCCTCTTTTGCAAGGGTCATGAAGAGCATGTATTTTCACTAAGGTGATTTGATGATTGCTCCCATCAACACTCGGTCCTCCTTTGGTGGGAGAGGCATTCTTTTGTGATAGACTTGATTTTGAGAGGGGTTATAGAGTCTATTGGCGATGAAAAATAACTTTGTGTCTTCGAGTTATTTGGATCAAGAAAAACCCCATCAAAATGAGTTATATCGTGACACAAATTTTCAACACATAATAACATTGTGCTGGAATTATAACAACAGTGGGGACATCTAGCATCTATGTCTGATCGGTATCAGAAGATTTACAAGATCGACCTAAAAAGAAAATAATACACTCTACAAATTAATACTCATAAATTCAAAATTTATGAAAAAAATTAAAATTTTCTCATAAATTTTTTTCTCAGTTCAAAAAAGAAAATTTATGAAAAAAATTAAATTAAATGATACAGTATACACTCTACAAATAAATATTTGATAAATTGATAAACATCATAAATAAAATTTCTCTGGTCTCAAGTTGGACTGATGTAAAACATGACACATTCGATAAGATAATAATATTTAGAAAAGTAGTAGGTACATATATGGCTCTATTTAAATTATAAATAAATAATTACTATATATAAAGAATTTATATAAACATACACAAGCAATTTTGTTGTTTATTTCTTCAAAACAAACTTCATCTCTAATTTTATATTTCATACCATTGAAAAACATATAAAAATGAATGGTATATTATGATATGTGTTAACACATATAAAATATACCAAAAAATCTTATAAAAATACATTAAATTAAAATCTATTACTTTAACCAATTTATAGTATCGTGAATGAAATATTGGTTTCATTTTTGAATAAAAATATATGTTTAATGATAAATCTAAATAAGGAAATTATCTTTAAGTAAAAACTCTATAAATTAATAAATTATCATAGTCCTAACATTATTAATTTATAGAATTTTTAGTGTATTTAATAGACACTTACTATGTCGCGCTCATACATGAGTATAAATATTTAATATTGAAAATCATAATAATTAATTAATTTTTTGCTTTTATTTGAGAATAAATTTTTATCAATTTATGCATGAAAATAATTTTATATTTTATACAAACATGTGGTAAAACATTCTGATTAGTTCAATAACTTTTGGATATATTAGATTGCATCTATTGCACTAAATTAAACCATATTATTTTATTTTATTTTTAACTGATTAAAATTATATTATTTTATACTGTGCAATTTTAATATTTATCTAATATATTTATATCATTATGTTTGATTCGATATATTTTATTTTTGAAAAAAAATGACCACTTTACATTTCGGAGTTGTATAAGTGAATGTAACCTAACATTTTTATGAAAGATCATGCACATGTATCAATATTTACAAAAAATAATAATAATACAAGTTATTAATATTCCATTTAGAACTATTAATTAGTTTTAAGTTATTTGGAATTTATATGTATAGAATAACTTAAGATTATTCTAAATAATAATGTTTTATCTTAACTGAGCCTCTAATTTATCTCAATAATTTGGATTATTTGTGTATATTGAGTTGCATATATTTTACTCACAATGAACTACACCTTTTATTAATTAGGCTAAGTATATGTGGAATGTTTTTTTTATTTCATTTCGTTTGATTCTTGTTCTTAAATTTTAACGATATTTTAATTATTTGTTTAATTTAATATATATATTATTTGAAAAAAATCTAAAATAGTAATCAATATGAACTTGCATAAGAAAACATGATTATTAATCTTTAAAATCTAAAATGTTTTAAGAATTTGTAAAATAACTAAATTGTAAGAGTTTGCTATATTTTTTGCTTTTATTTGTTCATAGATTCTAGTCATTTTTTAATTTATACATTTGAAAGAAAAAAATATTTTTTTGAATAATATTAAATATAAGGATTTGGATTGGTCTAGCTGTCATATTTCAGTTATGTTTGACTGCATAAATATTTGAATTTGAGTCATAACTTTCTTATGCTAAAATAAGATTAAATTTAATTACGTTTTGTTTACTTTTCTTAGATTAATAAATCTATTTGGTAAAATTTTATAAACTTTATTATACAGTATAAAATCTATAAATCAAAAATTAATTTATCCAATCCCAAATTTTATAAATAAGATACAAATCGATAAAATATAAGATAATATTTTTTTAGAAAATCATATGTTATATGGTCCCATTATATTATTAATTAATCATTTATATGTATATAAATTTTATATAAGTACAGACCAACCAGTACATTGTTTGTATTATATTTAGAATCAAATTATCTTTATATTGTATTAATATTTAATATATTTTGTAAAATTATATCTAAAACCAGATTTATATTCTAGGAAAAATATTTTCTACAGATAAAATAATATAATAAGAACAATGTGAATGCCGAATTTCCAAAATGTAATTAATGTACATATACAAAAATCAAATATTTTCTTATTTTAGGAAAAATATATATTTTAAAATAAAAAAATCTAAAAAGGAAACATTTATAATTAATAATTAAATAAATAAATAAAATACCATAGTCCCAACATTATTAATTTATATAATTTTCTGTATATTTCTCGTTACAATTAAGAATATTTAAAGTGTTAAGAGATACAAAGTTGTATAAGCAATCCAAACCGGTGATATTCTACAATTTCATTGCTCAATTAATTTTCTAAAATGTCATGATATTTAAAACTTGATGAAAACATGACCATGATCAAAATGCCGAGCTCTCTCCGTCACTTTATGGGTCAGAACCGAGAACGAGAACCTCTTATGGATGGTCGTCTTTACCCTCTTGTACCATCTCCATCATCTCTGAATGTTTCCTTGGCCTAACTCACCAGATGGAGGTGATCAAATCCAATCTGGCGGTCTCTTAAGGCACTCTGATGAACCATAACAAGATCACCAACATGACTAGATCCTAGGAGAGATTTGGATCTGGGCTGGAAGAGATAAGTTTTTTTCTTTCCTTGAACATCTATGGATTGAGGACATGATTTATCGAAGACAGTTGAAGAAAATGAAGCAGGTCGGAGAAATCGAGCCAACATACAGTGGCAAATGGGAAAAATCGACTAAAAGAGAGGAGAGTTAGAGAGAGAAATACCATTTAACTGCAGGGAAGAAAAACAAAGTGCACACCATCATTAAGTCTACGAAACCTAAATGCGGCACGATTTCCGCCTTTCTAGGAGCGACGGTTCCATTTCTTAGAGCAAACTGGATCTGGTTTGGAAAGTTACAGTCAATTTAAACTGAAATTGATTATTGATTCATGGTAAACCGGAAACATAGCTTACCAGCATGCCGAGGAGGAAGTTCGACTATGTTTGAAAGACATGTGCCAAGTTATTGACTCTTAGAACATATTCTTGCTATTCATTGAGATCGAATTTGTCTCTCACAATGAACTTGGGCACTTACTATTGGAGATGAATTACATCCCTCAGACAAGACCTATCGAGTCAACAGAACTCGGCCCCAATAAAGTTGAAGTCGGTACAAGTTTAGGATGATTGTGAGGCAAAAAGGAAAAGAGGACGAATATATAAAGAGAAGAACAGAAACCGACAATGACATTCACAAACATATGCTTCTTGGCACAAGAGCTAGGGTTTACGTTATTTTCTTTGTTCTTGTCGAGTTGACCTAATTCTCACGAAGTCTTACTGTTTTCTCTTGTGATTCTTCTCTTTATAAATACAAAAATACGCCTTTCAAATAAATCACCATTGTCTTCGTGCATGCAACTTGTATACTGAATTCAAATTAAAAAGATATGAAACGCAAGACCAGACGAAAGTGCATTGTTTTTATTCATTCATCATGGTGAAACATAATGAATCAAGCAGCAGATGGAAAAGCAATAAGAGGGTATTTGCGGAAAATCACGAGACCAGTTGCTTCAGTTAGATCATCATGATCCCTTTGTGGTTTGACATCCATTTTCCAGTTGAAACGTTTCACAATGTTAGCCAATGTCACACCAATCAGTGCTGATGTGAATCCTATTCCAGGACATATTCTCTTTCCCGATCCAAATGGAATGAATGTGAAATCTTGTCCCTGAAAATCCAAATCCGAGTCCAAGTGCCTTTCTGGCCTAAATGCTTCAGCGTCTATCCCCCATGTTGTAATGTCTCGTTGGATTGCCCACGCATTGATTATAACCTGTGTTTCCATAGATATGTTTCTTATTCTTGTACGTAAAACTCAATAGTATTAATTGATGATTACTACTTAAATAATCTTATTTTGTTGAATACTATGGTAATATCCGCTCTATGGGAGGGTAAGTGATATTGATGAAGTTTACAGATATTTAGTTTGTTCTCAATTAAGAATTATTAACTTTCGTTATTTTCTGTTACAACTATAACTATTTTATCTTTAGGAAACATATATTTGTTTCACCACTAAAATATTCTTGAAAATATGTTTTAATTACTTTATTCTTAATATTTACTCTACTTTGGTTTTAAATAGTAAATATAGTTAATTTTTAAGATGAGAGTTTATTGTAATCAACACAGAAAATATAGATATTTTTATTAGTTTGTTTCTTAAACTTAGCAGTACTTTTTCTCTTTTATATCTTCTCGTAAAGCTACTAATTTAAACGATATGAAAAAAGAATAAATGATCCATTAAATAAATATATATATTAACTAAAGAGGGGTAAAGTTAAAATCTAACATTTTTAACTGTTAGTATTTTTAAATATATTTTCTGGAATTTTATTAAATTTGTTAACTAACTAAATAGTACTAGAAAATAAAATGATTCTGATTAATTTTAAAATATGATTGTTAAATTTTTAATTAAATATATACAATTGATATAATTTATAATAAATTTAACTTTATTTGTTTTTAGATATTAAAGTTATATTTAAAATTAATTACTTATATTTTATTTTTGGTTTATGATATAAGATATTTAAATGAAGTTGTGCATCCTTTTCAATTTATTCTCACATATTTAAATTATAAAAGATGATAAATAAAATTTCATATTTATTTCAAATTAATTTGTATATTATACTTATATTATTTAATTTAAATATTAAATTATGTGATATACACATAGTTAATGATATTTACTATCAATATTATTATTTTATTTTGAAAATTTTTAATTAGAAAAATCTAAGTATTTATATATGCGTATAACCAAATTTATTAATTCTATTATTTTTTTAGAAAATTGTTTTTGAAGATTTACTTATGGATTTACAGTTGGTTACAGTTTCAACTGTACAATTAAAATATTTAGGATTATTTGGTGCATTGTTAAAATATTTGGTCAAAATATTAAGATAATAAAAGATATAAATAGATTTATACATTTTTAATACTTATGATGAGTTGTCAATTTTTATTTTAGCCAATTGATCATGTAACTTCCTAAGAAAAACGTGAATCATTTTTATATAGATAGATAAGATAGACGCCATTATTTTTAATAAATTACCAAAATTCCATCAAATTAGCCAATGTTAAATACATAGTTAATCATAATATATTTTATAACACATAACTACTTAGATATATTTTACTAAAAATAATTTTATGTTATATATTTCATTTATCATATTTATCTCATCCTAGTTTATTGAAATAGCACATCATTAATATAATATTAATAGATTGGTATATATATGTTATTCAGTTTTTAAATAACTGAAAATGATTAGAAACCAAAAGAGATATAACATGACCATAAGAAGATTGTTGATTTGATATGAACCAAAGCACATATACCTTTATACATGCTTAGGCGAGTTTAACATATCATTACTTTTTCATTGAATTTAGGAAATGGAAAGTTCATTGAATTTATCCGATTAGAATTTAACCAATCATTACTTTTTCAATCTACTTAGAAATTTCGAAGAAGAATTTCATGAGAAGAAAAATAATTTGTTTTCAATTATATTACTAATTTTAAATTTTTAATAGTATCTAACAGAAAATAATCAATCTTATATATTTTTCATTTGATGACTAGGAAAATGGCATAATTATTTCCTCACCTATTAGTTATATTAAAATATGCACTTCATAATAATTTTAAGAGTAAGTTTAATACCACTCTTTTTTATTTTTTTTCTAATTTCCTATTAGTAATTCAACGTTTTTTAAAATATATATTTTAGGTGTAACGTGCGTAATTAAAATTTTTACCTGTGTGCCTGCTGCAATATGATATCCTTTTAACTTCACATCTTCACTATATACTCTGGGAACTAATAGTGGAGCGGGAGGACGCAACCGTAACGCCTCCTTGATAACAGCCTGTAAATAGTTCATCTTCTCGGCTTGTTTCTCCGTTACATATAAATCATCTTTCGAGATTGAACGAACGTCTTCTTGGAGTTTCTTCATGGCCTTCGGATGTCTCATGAGCTCTGTCATTGTCCATTCAAGAAGTGAGAGAGTTGTTGCAGTTCCTGCTAAAAACATATCCTAAGAGAAATTAAGAACATCGTATGTTAGAATCACACACCAAAAGTTAGAAGAATCTAAAAGTAATAAATCATTAATAATTTCTAGTTTTGATTACTAATGCTAAAGAGACATGCGTAATAGCTTGTTTTAATATCCTGCAACAGCATAGGAGGAAGGAAAAAACTGAATTACCCATATGATAAGTTTTAAGGCATTTTTTTCTAGCTCAAATTGTCCTGTCTTGTCTCTTTGAATCGTTAATAACTTATCAACCAGGTCCGATCTGTTCTCTTTTTCTGCATCTTCATGTTCTTTTACCACTCTTTCCAGAAATTCATCAAACCTTTTATCAACTTCCTCCATTTTATGATCGAGACCGCGGATCTTGTCAATCCACGACAAACTTGGAATGTATTCACCTACAGGAAATTCACCCAAGAGTGCCGCAAATGTACTCACTATGTTCTCGACATCAATTGCATCTTTTGTGCCGCTATATTTTCTTCCCAACGCAACTCTACATATTATATCGTTAGTCAACGTCATAAGGAGTTGGCTTACATTTACCGGTGAAGCAGAAGAAGACGAAGCAGAACTTGCTCTTTCCAGCTTTTCAATCAGTAGTTTTATCTCATCTTCTCTTATTTTCTCATAAGATCGGACGGATTTGTTGTTGAGTAGATTCTGGATGCATATACTCTGCATCCAACGCGATTCGAAAATTTTCGTTACTGATATTTTATCAGTACAAAAATTATTTCAACGGGTTACTTTCAAATCAAATCTGTTGGGGGCCTCTGTTTCTAAAGCAATAATGAAGAAAAAAAAAGAAAAAAATAAATCTGAATTTTTCATTCTCTACCTTCATTTGTCTCCAGTATTCTCCGTAAGGGGCAAAAGCCACATCTCTCCCACCATCCAGAATTTTATCGACTACTTTTGTTTTTGGACGATTGGCACACTTAAGATCATGAGTCTTCAGGACGTCATGAGCAACATCCGCGGAGGAGACTATGAGAACTGGTGTGCGGCCGAAATGAAGGAGCATAAGTGGTCCATAGCGAAGGCTGAGTGAACGGAGAGACCGGTGAGGATGGATGCTAAGTTGGTGGAGGTTTCCGATCACCGGAAGTCTCCATGGAGACGGTGGCAAGTAAACGTTGTTTGTGGTAGTTCGTTTGAGGATGTATTTTAGTAGGAGAAGTGCAAGGAGGGTTGTTAAGCACAAAGTGGTTACTATCATTTCCATTAATAATTTTATTCTCATGCAAGTATTTTGTGTATGGATTATAATTTGTCATTTTTCTTCGTCTCTTCGTTAAAATTTATAGGGTTCATGGTTTTAGTTAACAAGTGGGGTGGCTCAGTGGCACTTAAGGGAATAAACTCAATATGTTGAATCTAGGTTCAAACCCCACTGACCACACAAATATGGGTTATTGCTTTCGTTCCATTTGAATATCCAAGAAAGAGTATATCCGTGGACTTGGACTGTATTAAAAAAACGAATAGATTAAGTAAAAAAATATATTATAGCGTTTGCGGATGTGGGAGATTGCGGTTTTAAACGTTAGTAAGAGATTTATATGACTGGTTCAACGGTCAAAAATTGTTGCGTTTGCGGGATACTTATAACTGGTTTATCATCAAATACAATGGCGGTTAAGTAATAAATTAATAATATTTATATTTTATATAATTATCAAAATATTAAAATCATACTTTCATGATAAATATAAAATTGTTATTGAAAATACTGCATTATTAAATTTTAAAAAATTAAAGAAAATTTTTTTTTGGAAAATTTATAATATAAGTATTTCAGTATTTCAATTATTTTAATTTAAAATTTTAATTGGCTATTTTATTTTTATATTTATTTAGTATTTTAGGAAAAAATATTTTTTATTCTCTCGCAATCGTCCGCAACCGCAATCGCTAGCTGGAACCAGCTTTTGAATTTTAGAGATTCAGAGCAATTTAAAATGGTTTATAGCATTTTCTGTGATTGTCGCAAAAAGCCAACAATCGCTAACAACCGCAAAAGCTGCGTTTGCGGGTGATGGCAGGAGAACTAGTCAGACTCTGGACGTCTTGATGCAAAAGAACAGAAAACAGAGTTAAGAGCAATGCGCTGGAGATAAAACATGGAGATTAATTGAATGACGTAAGAATAGAGGTGGATCTAAAAAATAATTTAACATGAGACACATTATTATATATATAATTTAATTAATTAATCCATTAAAATATATTTTATAGTAATTAAAAATAACATTTTATTTTTGATATAGGTTGAATGAAAGAAATATTTTATAATTTAAAATATTAATTTTAAGTAATTTTATAAAATTTATATATTCACATCATAATTTCATTATAAAAACATAGTTTTAATCTAAATATCAATTGAAAAAACAAACTTTAAAAAATAATTTATTGATTATTTGTGACTTGTGTAGTTAGTTTTGCCATTTCTTAAGTTTTAAAATGAATTACTTTATTTTTGTTGATTCAGAAGTTCTATGGTAAAGAAGAAGAAAGAAAAGAAAACAACTATTAATAAAAAAAACTTTTAAGTAAAAAGGAAAACAAGTGATCAATATATATTGTGAAATTTTGAAAGAACAAATCACGGATCATTTAAGCATTCAAACTTAATTGGGTGTGGCACAGTTAAGCCTTAAAACCAAAGAGCTAACAATTTGTATATGTTAATTAGCTAGCGCAAAAAATTATACGATTTAGTACGAGGCATGTGCCACATCCCATCCATGCTTGGGTTCGCCTTTGCGTGAGAAAAAGATGGCTAAGAAACATAATATTTATCTTCGAAAGATATAATTTGGAAAAAATCTTTCAAGAAGAAGAAGTTTCTTGAATTTTGTACGTAAATATAGAAAATATATTACTGAAAGAATTTGGAAATGTCTAGGAAAGTGTGATCGAATGGTAAGAAGAATAGTTAGACAGTAACACATTTCAGATTCGAACAACTATTGTGTGAAAATAAGTCACTTTGCTTATGGACACTTATATGAATATAGGCTCATCTTTTCGGGTCTATTTACATATCTGGAAAAAGAGTTTATACATGAATTACATAAATTTGTCTGGAATTTATCTATGAATACATATGACACGCAAAAGTTTTGAGCATATATTGCAAAATCCAACCCGATACTAAAACAGCTATAAGACTTTTTTGGCTTTTCGAACTTTTAAAAAGCTAAACTAAAATTGAATACTTTAAATTTAAATCAAAATTTGTTTAATCCCAAATTTAAATAATCATGAGAATCTATATGTTTATAAAATCCAAAACTAAAACAAATATCTTACCTAATAAACCAAATAAATATCAATAAAGAATATAAATAAAACAAAAATTCTTTCAACTCTAATCAATAGAACTGTCAGAAAGATCATGATTTTCATTAGTGACTTTCACATTCTTGTCGTCATGAAAAACTTCCATAGTTACTCATGTGAATTTTAATTAATTATGAGTTATTAGTGGACACGATTATTAAGTCTTTGTAAAATAGCTCAATCCTTGAATAAAACAAAATGATTCCACCCTGAACAATTATTTAAAGGTGAGTTTGATGTGTGATCTACCATAAACATATATGTCATCTATTATTTAAAGTGACTCCACTTATTTATTTGTTTGTTTATTTTAATTGTTATTTATGTTTCTGAAAGACTGTATTTTTTGTGGGAACCGAAATTCATCTACAGTCGATTTCTGTAAAATAAGGAAACTTAGGAAAACCTTAAGTTTTCAGAGGAACCGGATCTCTGCGAACGCCGACGACAAATAACCAAATAAATACGAAAATACGAAAAACGTAATAAAACGAATTTATAGAAAAAGTAGATCTTATTTTGATTTCGCGTAAGAGCGTTGGGATTGTTACAAGGGTTTACAAAGGCTTCGGCCGTAAGGCCATCAGCGAGTTATCAACATAAAAACCTTAAACCTAGTCGAGTCGCAACTCGATAACAAAAGACGGAAAAGATAAGAAAAACGGTTTGATTGATTTCGGACTGAACCTTATGAAAGGCTGCCTACGTATCCCTTTCGAAGATCAAGTCGAACGTAGTTCAGTTGATAGAGCTGGACCAGAGATCGAATTGTCTGGGCGAGTTCGTCTAGTAATTGAGCGCCAATCATAGAAACCGAACTTGTCAAGAAAAAAGCCTAAGTTTCTAAGTGCAGAAAATTCTAAGTCTAGAAAAGTTGTAAAAGTCTCAGACGAGAGCTCTGAAATTCGTCCTCCTACTTCTGTCCTATGCCTCTTGCTTATATACTCCCTTCCTTGGCGGTTTGGTCCTTCCATTTCGTCCAGATTCGAGTTTATCGAGAATCTTTCTTTTATGTTTATCTTTCCTTTTTTCCCGCGGAAATCTTCTTTTTATCTTCAAACTTGACACTTACCTTCAAACTTGACATTTATCTTCTTTCTGCGGGTAAATCGTCAAAACGTTACCGTATCTTCGGGTTAGATTTCGTTTAGATCGCGAGATGGGCTTTTATCACGTTTTTTGGACCTTCCGAGCCGTTTTGCGATAAATTCGTTTTGCGACTTTGTACGAGATTGTTTCATGATCCGATGCTGTTTTTAGTAAATTCCCCCAGTTAATCGTAAAGTTTAGCTATGTTCGTTTTCTTCGGTTAAGCGTTGCCGTTTTTACGATTCACTCGACGTTTTTTTATTAAAAACACGTTTTTTACGCTTCTTACGAAAGATCTCGAATAAATCGTATAGTCTAGGCAATGTTCAATGTTTTGTATAGTCTAGGCAATGAAATACACCTTTATTTTTAAAAGTAATATATAGTATAAAATGATGACCAGAGAATTCCAAAGTTTCATTGTTTAGTTATAACGCACGTGTTTATTAAAAAATTTGGGATTCAACACAAATTTATAAAACTTCCGGAGTTAGTCATGTGAATTTTAATTAATTATGAGTTATTAGTGGACATCGATTATTAAGTCTTTGTAAAATAGCTCAATCCTTGAGTAAAATAAAATGATTCCACCGTGAACAATTATTTAAAGGTGAGTTTGATGTGTGATCTACCATAACCATGTAATCTATTATTTAAAGGGGAAATTGCGAGAAATAACACTTTCAAGATACCATTTTTTAACTTTACACTAACCAACTTTACCATTAAAATTTTAATACTCAAAATACTATTCGAATTTAGGGTTTACGGTTTTGGGTTTAGGATTGATAGTTTAGGGTTTAGTGTTGATTTTTTAGGGTTTAGGGTTTACTTTTTAGGGTTTAGAGTTTAGGGTTTAAGGTTTAGAATTAATATTTTAGGGTTTAGGGTTGATTTTTAGGGTTTAGGGTTTACGTTTTAGGGTCTAGAGTTTAGAATTGATGTTTTAGGGTTTAGGGTTAATATTTTATTTAATATTTATTTTATGTATATATATAAAGAACAAGGATATAAAATCTTTTATCCTTTAATAAAATGTGTATTTTTGAAAATGTTTCTTTGTTGATGGTAAACATGAAAAGTGGTACCACCAAAGTGGTATAATTGAAATTCTCCCTATTTAAAGTGACTCCACTTATTTATTGGGAGAATTTCAATTATACCACTTTGGTGGTACCACTTTTCATGTTTACCATCAACAAAGAAACATTTTCAAAAATACACATTTTATTAAAGGATAAAAGATTTTATATCCTTGTTCTTTATATATATACATAAAATAAATATTAAATAAAATATTAACTCTAAACCCTAAAACATCAATTCTAAACTCTAGGCCCTAAAAGTAAACCCTAAACCCTAAAAATCAACCTTAAACCCTAAAGTATCAATTATAAACCTTAAACCCTAAACTCTAAACCCTAAAAAGTAAACCCTAAACTCTAAAAAATCAACACTAAACCCTAAACTATCAATCCTAAACCCAAAACCCATAAACCCTAAATTCTAATAGTATTTTGACTATTAAAATTTTAATGGTAAAGTTGGTTAGTGTAAAGTTGAAAAGTGGTATCTGGAAAGTCTTATTTCTGGCAATTTCCCTTATTTATTTGTTTGTTTATTTTAATTGCTGTTTATGTTTTTGAAAGACTATATTTTTGTCAAAACTCTGCACAGCCAAATAAACATAATATCCTCATGATAATATCTTATATATTAATACAAAATATACTTTTAAAATTTAATATTGTCTAGGTGTTTACATTACATCTTCTTACAGTCTATATTTACAAAGTTT